TGGTGTTTGGGTATAGTGCTCACAAAACCCTGGCATTGCTGCAATGTCCATGTTTGACATTGTAGTGTATCCCCTCATAGGACTCCATGGCGGGTGGGGTCAGTGGGCACTGAATCTCTCTCCTTAATTATGGATCCTCCCATTCCAAAAAAAAAAATGTTAAAAATATGCTAATTGGTAAACGACCATGCCTAGAAGACTCTGAAAAGCAGTCTCCATCACAAAGTACACCTGTACCTCGCTTTTTGATCCTGCATTCACTGTCTGATAAATCTTTAGGGCAAATGTCTCCCTTTTTTATTCAGAAGGGCTTAGAGGGGCTTGCTGACTCTCCAAAGTCAGTTAAGAAGCTCCGTTCTGGAGACATCTTAGTAGAAACTTCCACAGCTAAGCACAGTGAACTTCTCTTGAATTCAAAGGTCGTTGGGGATGTACCCATTGAGGTTACTCCCCACGCTTCCTTGAACTCCTCACGAGGAGTTATTGTTGAGAGGGACTTGAAGTCTATCCCCGAGTCGGAGATTTATACTGGTTTTTCATCACCACGTCCACCTGCCGCCGTTAAGGCAGGTTATTTGAACTGTAAAGTACGGCCCTATATTCCCAACCCTCTCCGTTGTTTTCAATGTCAGCCGTTCAGTCACTCAAAGACATCTTGTCGTGGTTCTGTGACGTGTGCTCGTTGTGGTGGCAAGAACCATGACACCTATGAGTGCAAACTGGACCCTCACTGTGTTAATTGTAGTGGTTCCCACCCCTCTTACTTTAAGTCTTGCCCTAAGTGGGTGGAGGAGAAAGAGGTACAGCATTTGAAGGCTCTTAATAACATCTTTTATCCTGAGGCTTGGAAGCTATTGTTCCCTACTACATCTTGGACATATGCCTCTGCACTATGCTCCACCTCTACAGTGGGAGTGAAGACGGAACTTTCCTTGCCTCTATCTGAGTCTTTTTCATGCCATGTGCGGGGTCTTCTGCCCTCCATGGATAATAGAGTCGATAGATCTACATCTACTCCAATTTCTGTCGGGCCGATCATCTCTATGATTATAATCGCTCCTTTACAGTGGTGGAACTCAAACTTGCTCTTTATTGGTCTGGTAGTACATCAGTCGGACCTGATGTTGGTCATTATGAGATGTTGCGCCATCTCTCTCCTGCCTCT